ATCCCATGTTAGACAGTGTTCAATTTTAATTTTTAGTTAGCAGTATGTCAAAGGGAAGGAAAGCACATTAGGACTATTCTTAACATGAAGGACATCCTTAGGCAATGAGAATGGAAATACAGACGTTTTAACAAGCACAAGACAGTCTGTGGGGATTCAGGACAACATGAACAATCTACCTGAGTGATTGGGGAGACAAAATACATGTTTACATCTCCAAAATACAACAGTTACAGAAATGCAGCTCAGCTCCTGTTTCTGACAGAACTCCCTGCACTCCACACAAGGCCCTTACAGCCCCTTCTTCCTCTGGCTGTGACATCCAAGGACAGAGATCACCCCCAGCCTTGGCCACACCAGAGAGAGCACAAACCCAGCCCAAAGACAAGGGGTTCCAAAACCCTGATCCTACACTGCCTGGAGCTGGCTTCATCAGCCAAGACCCAGACTCTGAAACTTTTCTACTGGACCATCCAATTCTTGGAGCAGCTTACCCTGGACAAGGGATCCACATCAAGGTTGGACTGGTCTTGAGCAAGACACCCAGTGGCCATGGACCACCCAAAGAAATCCCCCACACCATCTGGGAAGGACTTCACACTACTCTGCACACAGATGATACCATGATTATTATCAAGGTACATATCTATGCCTGATGCCAAGATTAGGAAATACTTCCTCTTACTCCACCCAGACCCGCAAATGCAGGGGAATCTAAAAAGAATTTAAACAAATCCTCAGGAAAAGGTCTGACCTTGCTGCTCATTACAGCCTGGTGGGGAAGGAAGGGTGGCAGGAAAGGAAGAATCCCTAGTTCTGATACTGTGTCCAGTTCACACTCTTTTGAGGAAAAAAAAAAAAGAAATTTCAAAGTCTACCTAACACCTAAAATAAGATGGGAAGTAGTAGGACTAACCTGGAGGAGTTTACACAAACAGAACTCTTGATTTTCAAGGTCCATCACTTGCTTTGGAATAAAATCTCTCCCTGCTACTCTGGCTGAGGCTTATCAGACAGCCAAGGGACACAGACACCCCACCCACAGCTAACTTAATTGGAATCAGACATCTAAATCCACTGGCTAGCTTTAAAAAAAAAATCCCAGGTTAGCCTGGGTGCTATCCCGAAAGGGCATGCCCTCCATTTGCTGCTCTGGAACAGGCAGCTTCACACCACCTCACATGAAAGGAGAGCTGCTGACACTGCCTCTTGCCCAAGAAGAAGGACCAGATGTGCACAACTGCTGAGCCCACGTGCCCAGGCAGGCAGGAAACCCAGCTGGCCATGGGCACCGTGCGGATCCGGGATGGGCTGGGGCACGGAGGGGCCAGGACAGTCCTGCTCCAACCCCTGGGACAGTGACAGAGTCCTGCTCCAACCCCTGGGACAGTGAGAGTCCTGCTCCAACCCCTGGGACAGTGAGAGTCCTGCTCCAACCCCTGGGATAGTGACAGAGTCCTGCTCCAACCCCTGGGACAGTGAGAGTCCTGCTCCAACCCCTGGGACAGTGACACAGCCAATAAAGACATCGCTGCTGCATCCCCAGCCCATTACCAGACAAAATAACCAAACCAGGTCCCTCTGCTGTTCTGTGGCACCAGCTCCATGCTCCATCCGTGCAGGCTGGACCCCCCACCTGCAGTCAGGGTCACGCAGGCAGGACACCAGACACGCAGTGCCAGCAGCAGCAGGCACCAACCCTGCCCTTTTCATCCAGGAAGGCTCCAGAACACAGCCAGCAGGGCACAGCCACAGTGCCCAAGAATGCCACATGCCTTACTACAGCTCCAGCTTGCTGAACTGGGAGCAATTCCCAACCACTTGTGTTACATCCCTGGAGTAAGTGCAGGAGAACAAGCACCTCCATCCCACTCTGGAGGAACCTGAGCACAGAACCTCCCTGGGCAGCCTCACTGACTGGAAACTTTGGCTGAAGTTTTACCTGCTTCTGTTTCAGATGTGGCTCTGCACAACAAAGCATCCAAATTGCAATACCAAAAACATTTTCATGGCCAAGGAGCTACTTCACTGACATAGGCTACTGTCCTTTTGCTCTTCAGGTTTGTTTTGTTTTTGAAATAAATCCCTAAGGCAGAGGCATGAGGGAGGAAAATGCTCACATTTGAAATTATCTAATGAAAATGTTAAATTGGGTAAGCCTTCTCCAACCTAACAGAGCAGGTAACATCAGAAATGGCAGGCTACGTTAATAGTAAGTCAAATTATTGTAGTCTTCAGTATTCAAAAAGGGGTACAAGGATTTTTTTAAACCAGCAGTTACAGATGATCTCCTGTTACAGAGTGTCTTCCAGCATGGGAAGCAAGACAAATTTTTGTCAAGGAACAGCAGCCCTGAGGAAGCCCATATATTCACCAGAAGCCCAAGGAGTTAAACCCTGCAGCAGATTTCCTAAAACAATAGCTTCAAGTCGTGCTGGCCTTCCCAAGGAGAGCAGGATTACACATCCCGGTAATCCAGCACAGGCAGACAGGAGGATTTCTGCAGGGTCATTCTAAGGAAAGCAGGGAAGAATGCTGGGCTGTTACAACCTGCCACTGCTGGCTCAGGAGCCAATTTGCATCACCAGAGAGGTGTCAAACCAAGGTTTAAAAAACCCAAAAGAAAGTGTTTTACTGGGCTGGGGTTTGAAAGGATCCACCGAGGAAGAAGTGAGCGTGGACTGGCAAAGCTCAGCTCCAATGACAGGGATGGACAAATGGATGGATGGAAGCACGAGAAGAGGGAGTGCACCCCCAAACTTGCTTCACCTCAGCCCCCATTACTGCCAGGAAAAGCACAGGAAAAGGTAAAAACCCAAAACAAATCCCCATTTTGCTAAACATACCAGGAGATCACTCGGGGGGAAAAAATACAAAACAAAACACAAATTCTCCCCTTGCACCTAAAGAGAGACAGAGACATTTCATTAAATGCCATTAATCTCCACAGACCCAAGCATTAGCTAGTTAATTAGACTAAAGTACAGTCACATTTTAACGCTGAGCATTTGCTATTCAACTGGGATAAATGAACAACTAAAGTCCAAAACCTTAATTCAGTATCTAATTAAAAAACCAGAAAACAAAATATTCAGATTATGAAATGCTTGCCAGAATAATACATCATAATTGATGTAAAATCTGGTCTTTATTGCATCTGATTTTCTCCAGTCTCCAAAACAGGCTGTTTTCAATCTTCAGATTTTTTTCAAGTGCCCCGTAGAAATCCCAACACTTTAGAAAGGACAACTGTGTAAAAAGCAGCAACAGACACTGCTGACCTCTCCAGAGAAAGCAAGCTCCTGCTAGGAGTGGAATTTGACCATTCCAGCATTTGCCCCACGTTTGAAAGATGTCTATTACCAAAAACCAAGGAAAAAAAACCCCTACGTGTAGAAAAACAAAATCCCCTTTGTCAATACAACCTGATTTTGCATTCTTTAACACAAAAATTTAACTCACTAATATCCTCGATGTAAAACACGTCCTCGTTTTTTTAATTGTTACAGAAGTAATCACATGGGACAGCTTAACAACTCTGTTGCATGCATTACAAACTTCTCCAAATAACTCTGTAAAAACAGGTAACTGGCACTGAAGACAGTTTAAAATGCAAATTAACCTTTAAAAGGTATTGGGAAGGGGGATAGGCACATCAAGCTCAAGATCAAAATTCTGTAAACTTTAAATTGTATATTATAGATGGCATCAATCCAACAACACAATCCAGAAGCCACAAGCCCCACACACTATAAACTCTTTGCTCAGTGCAGAAGCAAGCCAGGCACACTATTATTCACCAATTAGTAATTAGATATGTCCTAGGAAGAAAAGAACCTCTAAACATTTGCCTACATTAGTCTGGTTTAAAATTCTGCGAGTAGGCTGTTGGGGTTTGTTCCTCTTTTTTTTTTGTAAGAACTCTCCAGCACCTCTCCTGTGCTATGCCTGGGGGTTTTAAATGGCACAGGGTTTTTCCTAGGTGCCTATTTTGTGCAATACTTAACATCATGGTTCAACACACACAGTTACACTGCTTGCTTTCATGAGGGGCTGCATGCAATAGCAGTTCAGGCAGTTGGTCTGGTAGTTTCCCACCACCAACTTTAAACCACTTTTCCTTATTGCCGTGCATGCACAACTTTGCAGGCTTTTTCTCCCATTTTTACCAGAAGACTGAAGTTACCCAAGATGACAAGTGTATACACAAGTGGCATACATCGGTTAAATTTTTTCCAATAGACTCTCAAAAACAAATTTAAAAAAACGTCAATTACAAAAGTTTTCTTTCAGCCTCTGGCTTTCAAAATTCACACGCTGCAAGTCTGGCTTTGAAACCGATTTGTTTTCATTAGGCACAACTAAAGAGCAACAAGCACTTGCATGGCACAGGCAGCTCCTGCAGGAGAAATGGCACCCAGCGGCATTTGGAGGGAGCACAGGGAGAAGCGCCCGTGTCCCTGCACCGTCCCCGTGCCACGCCGGGGACTGGCCACAGCATCCCCAGGCCACTGCTCCGGCCAGCTGGACACCCACAGCTCACTGCTCCCCTGCTCTTACAGAACAGCCAGGGCTCGGAGCCCCACCACAAACTTGCCCTCCCAGGCTAACACACAACTCCGCACGCATCTCCCCAGTTATACAAAAGAAAATTTGCAAACAATGAAGGCAGAGATACATCCCCATCCATCACAACCACAGAACTGAAAGCTCACTCAAAACAAGCCTGAAGCCTGCACTTAATCCAAACACTCTCCACGAGCACAACACGCTGCCCAGAGTGGCCGCCGGGCGCGGGGCCGCGGCAGAACCGGCCCCGGTGCCGCCGGAGCGGCTCTGCTCGGACACGGAGCAGCCTCCTGGGCCCCAGCCACGCACTGATCCCCCCAGAGCAGCAGCTTTAAAAGCTTTCATTGCCAATTCCCCGGCTGAAACCCGAACTGCCTGGCAACAATGATTCTCTGTGTGCCTGAAATCCTATTATCGATCCTCCTACTTACCTTGGGCTGTGCTCGTCGGGGAAACGCAACTTTAGGGTCAATCTGAGGAAAAAGAAAAGGGGAAATCAACAGGGTAGCTTTGGTTGTCATTTTACATTATTTTGGTTTTAAATCACTGAATTATTAATCCCTCATTTCTCAGGCTTGTAATTCAGCACAGCGGGTCATCCAGAGCTACTCTGGAAATGACAGGTCACAGTCTGGGTTTGTCTGGGGAGTTTGGCAGGGGCGGGGAGAACGGGAAGACAGGAAGAAAACATCTCTTCTGCACTTCTCCTCCATCATCTTCTGGGCAGCAATCCCCATGGGTGCTCAGGGAGCTCTGGATCAGCATCTGTGTGCTGCCTCTACCACCAAAACTGCATGTTGAGGATTTTCCACATGCCCTAGAGGTTGCACAGAAAGAGGGCCAGCATTCCTGACCAACATCTTAACTTGGTGGCTTGGACACCTGCTCCTTCCTGCACTTGGGTTTGGGGTGGCTTCTTTTTTTCTGCTTTGTTTTGCTAACTGACAAGCAACACCATACAAAAAAGGAAAGTCAAAACTAAAGTCAAATTATTCACATTTCAATTACTAAAACCGAAACATTTGAAGAACTAGAGTCCCCTCCATAATAATATGCCCAATTGATCTGATTTACTCACTCTCAAAGAAATTATGTGAGCAATGGAAAACTCCAAAGGGGCATTTTTGGGATGGGGCGGGAAGGGAAGAGAGTAAGTTACAAACAAGTTTCATGTGTGTGAAATATACACACATTGACCTCAAAAGTAAACAACTTCCTAAAAAAGGTTTTCCATTAAGGAGTTACTTGAACTATTCATGTATGAAGCAGGTCACCATAGACAAAAAGAAAGGGGGAAGAAGCCCCCTTGCTTTACCCACCCTGGCCTGTTTTAAGATGCAGCGTTGGCTCCCCTTGCGCTGCATGAATTAGCACGTCCCCTCTGCATTCCAAAATGCTCGTTCTGCAACCCCACACAACTTCCACGGGGGTCATCCCTAAAAAGGGACTCCTCTCTCCCATTCAAAAATCACATGAAACCAAAAAGGCACCACGGCAGACACAAAGAAATGGCACCCAGTGGTGTTTGGAGGGAGCACACGGGCAGAAGGCTGGATGTAAACAAAACCACCAGACCTTCCAACAATGGCTCCCCTAAATCGCAGCAGAACGCCCGTGTGCTGCTGCTCTCACTGCTGGCTCTCAGCAGCACCTGCACGCAGACATCTTCTGCCTAAAGGGTCTGGAAAAGGATGGTTTGAAGTACTGGATCCTACCTGAACTGTGCAACCTACACAGCTTTCAGTGCTGTCCTTGCCTGCACACCCAACTAACACTGACAGTGCTAAGCATATTTAGGACAGGCTTTTTTAGAGTTCTGGTTTGGCTTTTGTTGTGTTCCCCCCCCTCAAGCAAACCCTGATGAGGAAGAGGAGCTGTCTGCATTTGATATTGTTATTCCTCTGGTGATAAATATTCCTGTCACTGCTAAATAACCACGGGCCTCTCCTAAAAAGCAGTTTTACTCAATTAATTTGTCAAAATGGGAAATACCGCAGACATTTGATGTGCAGCTGATAAAACTGATTTGCCTCTATCAGGTACAAATATTGCATCTTTTTTAGGACACACCTGAGAAATGAGCGATTACATGCCATTTTATTGTTCAAAAAGCATAAAAAGTAAAATTATTTATCTAGAGAGCTAACCTTTTCATAGAGATTAACATTATCTACAAATATATTCAGCACTGACTAGGCATTTGTCTACTGGGGAAATACAACAGGTACGGATTTTCCACAGCGATACCCAAAGGTGGAAAAATATGCACTTTTCTATGTTTGCTCCAAAACTACAAGTTTTCCCACCAAAGAACACCAGGCCCATCAGAGGGACATCACTGCAAAGTCCTGCTGGTAAGAAGCTGGGAGAGCCATTAAACTCCAAAGCAACACATTCATTTTTGAAGGTCAGTTCAAAGAGCATGGACTCCCTTGCACCACAGCGACAGATTTTCTAAAAGAACTGAATTTTCCTTCCCAAAACCTTTTGCATAAACACCATCAGCCTTTGAAAACAAACACTAGCAATGAATGTGGCAAATCCATACCTTTTGCATAACCCTGTCAACTATTTAAACAACCAAAAAGGAAAAAAAAAAGAAAACAAAAACAAAAAACCAAAGTTCTACCAAAAAAAAAAAATTAGTTAGTTAGGTACAATTCTACTTACTGTATCTACAAGTCCTCTAGGAAATGACTATAATACTATTTCTGATATGAATGGCCATTACCTAAACAAAGCTTTTAACGTAACTGTAAACAAGAGCGACGTTTCCATGCCAATACCCAACCGATCTGCCTCCTGTGCTGAACGTTGAAACAGAGTCAAATGCCTTGTTATACTGCACAACAGTTACTACAATACTCTACAAATACACGCCTGAAAGGACCTGCCTGGTCTGTGCTTCACTTTTAAGCTGCGTTACGGATTCTAAGGTCAGTTTTGTATTTGGATTGATTCAATCATTATCACACAACCAAAACTGAGGCAGATCCGCCCCAGTGAAGCTCGTCACCCCTCCCCCAGAGAAGAGCAAATTAATACATTGCAGGGACTAGACTGTGATACAAGAAAAAAGCTGGGGGAGGACCTAATTATAGTCAGAAATATGACAGGGTGTCCTCCCATGATTTTTTTTTTAACTCTCGTTCAAGATACTGTTTGCCTTTGTTCTTCTTATCTAAATTTATCTTTAAAAACACATAAAGAATATAGCTGTACATGAAAAGTCTGGTGAGTTTAATTTCAGGAGCACGGTTGAATCAGTTATCTTACCATATCTGATTAAACCTAAAATCAAATTATTAAGGCATGTGAAAGCATGGGCTTCGTGTTCAGGCAAGCCCAGCAGAATGTGCAGGTCAAATTAAAACACTAGATTCCACCTGCTTCTACAAGAGCTTTAGGCTTTTTGTTTCCATATAAATTACATTTTTAAAAAAACATATCCTCGTGTTTGCTCCCTGCTTCTCCCTTTCTTCATTTAACTACAATCTCGCACACACAGGCACCCGTGAGATGTTGCAGCACCGAGACAGGATTGCTCCTAACACCACGCTCAGGTTAAAATAAAACCCTTAAGCCCCAGGACACAGCCTCTAAACCCCAGTGACAGTGAGGACCACGCTCCATCTGCCCAGCAGAAGGTCTCTGCAGACAGTTCCCTTCCCCAAACACAGCCCCTCCAGAGCCAGCAGCACCAGAGCGCTGATGACCTCTACCAGTGTCCTTCCCCCCTCCCCTCCCAGCTTTGCCGAGGCTCAAAACTACAAACGAAGTAGGAGGCACAAAACTTCATCTTTTTGCTTGGCCTTGATCACAGGGAGAAAACAGGGCCCAGAGCTGCACTAGCCCGATACCTTTTGTTTGACCCAACACTGAAAACACCATATTGGGGTAGGGGGCAAACTCGGGTGGGGAATTCTTGTTTAAAAAAGCCCCAACAAATGTAATGTTTATTAAAAAAAAAAAAAAAAATCAGCTGCATCTCACAAGCATTTTTTTCCTTATAGCATGCACTGGAGACTGAGCGCAGCAAAAAGCTCTGGAGAAACAACAACACATTAGGACTTGTGCTTCTCTACCACATCCACTCTCCAGCTCTTGCAGAGCTTCCCATAAATTACCGCGTGCATTTTGCCGGGGCCCTGCCATCACAGGTGAGGGGACCTCTCCAAAAAATGACTTTGGGAAATGACACGAGCAGCAGCTTTCGCGGTTTGACAGTAAGTCACTCCCACCTTGAAACGCGCTCAACAATACATAAATAATCAATCAAAAGAATCACAAAGTTCCCCGCAGAAAGCGTGCCGCAGCCCAACACCAAAAAAAAAGTTGGATTTTACTCCACAGCTTTTTCAATGTCACCGCTCAATAAAATATAAGGCCGGGGGAGGAGCCAGCGGTCGGTATGGGCGAATTCGGATTTCGGGGGAAAATAAAAATAAAAAAAATAATAAAAAAAAAGAAAGTTACCGGTTTTGACAAGTTAAAAGGCAGAGTCTATAAAAACCATAACGGAACAGCGGAGCGAGGTCCCGGCTCGATGCCGGGCCGGCAGCGGCCGAGCGGGGCTCGGAGCGGCGAACCCGCCGGGCAGGGCAGGGCAGGGCAGGGCGGCGGGCAGCCCAGCAGCACCTACCGTCTTGGAGTCCAGCTCGTGGTGCGGCTGAGCCAGGACTTTGTCTACACTCGCCGGATCCGCGAACGTAACGAACCCGAAGCCTCTGCGAGAGACAAAGAGCGAGGGGATGGCGGGGGGGTGGGGGGGTGGTGATGAGAATTGGAGCCAAAGGGAGAAGTCGTAAAAATAAACCGCTGGGTCCCCCTCCTTCCTCCGCCCTCCCCCGGAGCCGCCGGGTGCAGGGGCGGCCGGCTCCGGCCCCGGCCCCTCTCCGGCTCCACCGGCCGCTTTGTTTCCTGCTCCGGCGGGAGGGATGCGGGCGGGGAGAGCCGTCCCGCAGCGCCCCACGCGCGCAGTGGGATGCGGGGCTGGCATTCCGGGCTGGCATCGGGGGCTGCGGGTCCACCCGCCCCGACCGCAACTCGCGAAGTTTGTCAGCCCGAGCGGGGTGGGCGGCGGTTTTACCTGGAGCGCTTGGTGGTGGGGTCCCGCATGACCATACACTCCCTAATTTCTCCGAATTTGCTAAAATAGTCTCTAAGGCTGTCTGCGGAGAGAGAGCGGAGAGGGAGAGGAGGGTCAGGGCTGGGGGGGCGCGGGCAGGGCCCGGCGCGGCGGGACGCGGCCCACGCGGGGCGGGACACGCGTGGGGACGGGGCGGCGGTTACCTGGTGAGGTTTGCCAGCTGAGGCCGCCGATGAACATCTTGCTGGAGGGAGAGAGCAGAGCGGAGTTGAGCGCCGGTGCGGGATCGGCCATTTTGACGGGGCAGCTCCCGGCGGGGCGGAGGGGCGCGGAGCGGAGCGGCGCGGAGCGGGGCGGGCCCGCCTGACCGCCCCTCGCCCCCGCCGCCCCGCCGACTTACCCGGGGTCGTGCTGCGCCTCTCCGGGGCTCCCCGAGGTAGCCTGGCTCCCGTCCGCCTCCATGGCCGCGCCGAGCGAGAGCCCCTTTGAGAACCCCCCCCCCCCGCCCAACCCGCCCCCCCCGGCCCGGCTCTGGCTCGGTTTGCTCCGCTTGCTTTGCCCCTTTTTCCCTTCCCCCCTCCTCCTCCTCCTCCTCCTCCTCCTCCTCCTCCTCCTCCCTCCGCTACCGGAGGATCTCACTGGAGAGGCGCTGGGGCAGCAGCCAGATCCGTCACACGTGGGATCGGCTTAGCTCAGCGCCGCGCCGGCGCTCCCTCCCCCCGCCGCCATCCTCCCCTCCCTCCATCCCGCCCCTCCCCCGCGGGGCGGGGCCTCCGCGGCGCGTGGCTCTCCGTGACGTCACCGCGACGTCACCGCGCCCTCCCCGCGCGGCTCCCGCCCCGCGCGCGTCCGTCCCTCACGCGTGTCCGCGAGACCCGAGGCTGTGCCCATGGGGCTGTCCCCATAGACTGTGCCCGTGGGGCTGTGCCCATGGGGCTGTCCCCATAGACTGTGCCCGTGGGGCTGTGCCCACGGGGCTGTGCCCATGGGGCTGTCCACATGGGGCTGTCCCCCGGGGCTGTGCCCACGGGGCTGTGCCCCGGGACTGTGCCCATGGAGCTGTGCCCCGGGACTGTGCCCGTGGGACTGTGCCCGTGGGGCTGTCCTCATAGACTGTGCCCACGGGGCTGTGCCCACGGGGCTATCCCCCGGGACTGTGCCCGTGGGGCTGTGCCCGTGGGGCTGTCCCCATAGACTGTGCCCACGGGGCTATCCCCCGGGACTGTGCCCATGGAGCTGTGCCCATGGGGCTATCCCCCGGGACTGTGCCCGTGGGGCTGTGCCTATGGGGCTGTGCCCCAGGACTGTGCCCGTGGGGCTGTGCCCATGGAGCTGTGCCTATGGGGCTGTGCCCCGGGACTGTCCACATGGAGCTGTGCCCATGGGGCTATCCCCCGGGACTGTGCCCACGGGGCTCTGCCTATGGGACTGTGCCCACAGCACTGTGCCCCCAGGCTCTGCTCCCACCCGCATAGCCAGGCGGGCGTCAGGGGAGATTCCGGGGGCTGGGAAGCGCCTGCTGGGTGTCCAGGAGAGGAAAAGTACATGTTAGGGACTCGGGAAGAATTCGGGCCTTACAGAAAGTGTCATCCCGTCTCCAAGCCTGGGCATCGCGCCCCACGCTGCCCTTGGCACCGCCCGGACCCTGCGGACACCCCGGGTTTAAAGTGCAGCTTTCTGGGGCTGCTCAGAGAAAGCGGCTGCAGCCCGGTGCTCCTGCAGCTCCAGCACCCCCGAGTCCCCACGTCCCTGTGCCACCATGTCCTGGGGCTCCTCCACATGCCAGTGCCCTTGCAGGGCTCCAGCAGCCCCGCGTCCCTGCTCCCTGCTGTTCCCATGTCCTATAGCCCCACACCCCGAGGCTCCGCTGAACCCCTCAGTTCAGGGAACCCCTCGGCCCCACAGGCACTGCCCAGCCGGCGTTTCCCCTCAGCTCCTGCATTTCCCACTCCGTGCTTGACCAGTGCTTTGCGGGATGGGGCTGCCAGGTATTGGTGTGATTATCCACAGCAATCAGGTTCACCTAAATGAAGGAGCATGGACTGCACACCCAGCGGGACTGAGCCACATTGCCCTACATTTTCAGAGACATCTGTGGATTTTGAGTTCTTCCACCTGTCCAGCACCGAGTGCCTCCCAACCAAAGACCTCCCAGCTCAGCAGCCAAGCCTACAAGAGCTGTTTTGGGGTTGCCAACTATTGCCAGCTCAGGGATTATAATATTTTTACTGGGGCTGGGAGCAGTATGTGGATGTACTTTCCAGCAGGGACTAATGAACAAGGTGGGAATGAGTGGACGTGCGCAGGGCTGAGAGGTCAGGCCCACTGGAGAAACACCCCTCTTCATGCTCTGATGCTGACCACTGTAAAATGGGATATAATTCCCTTTATTTGGTTTGCCATGAAATGCTTAACTCTGGCTCAGCAGTGGCGAAGGCTCTGCTCCTCCAGAGCGGGCAGGGAAAGGGGGATGACCTGGCCCTGCCCCAGCAGGGTGAGCAGCACCAATGTGCAAAGGAAATGGATGGGGGGGATTAAAAAACAGTCTTTTTCTCCCCCCTTTGAGCTTTCTTTAGATCTTAGCTATTTCTTGTAATAATCACTGGGAAATTACTAGTCAGGAGAGCGGTTCCTGGGGTTATATTACCCCTTTAATCTCTCTGGCAGCGGTGCAGAATTTTAAAGGGGTTCCAGAATGAACAAGCACAAGACAGATTTTGCTGATGGACAGAAGGAACTTCAGTGCAGCTGCTTATGGCTCAGAAAGAAATTTTGATTGCTATATATTAAAAGGAAATCTCCACTGCTATCCCTTCCATCAGCGAACGCTGCAGGTCAAATGGCTTTGGGAAGACTTTATCAGTACATTCTCTCTCCACTTCCCCCAGAACTGAGGCTGGATTCAGGGGTGTGACGAGTTTCAATCTGTTCAGTTGGTTTTGCTCTTTGTGAGCACTCTGCTGTCACAGCAGAAGCCAAACCCATGGCACCAGGGATGCTCTGGGGACACGCTCGGCACCTGAAGCCCAGGGGTGACAAACCAGGACCCACTGTCCTGCTCCTTTGGCAGCAGTCAACAGCACCCAGCCCCAAAGGTGCTGTTCCAGCCCCAATCCCAGATTTTCCTGCAGCCCACTGAGAGTTTGCAGGCTTGCCCTCTTCTCCAACCTCTAATGTTCATGCTAAAAATCCAAAGTCCCAGTGGAATTTGGGAAGTAGCTAATGAACTGCAAAGCTGACATCTGTAACTGCCAGCCAGGGATAACGTTCTCCCTAGCTGCACAATTAAAAGTTGAAGCATTTAGTCCAATAACAAGGAAAGTTACTGCTATTGATTCAAACCAGCCCAGATCCTCCATGGTGGCTCTGCAGGACACTTGAATTTGGGACCATCACATCTGTCACATACTCAGATAGCACTCACTCTCATTAGCAGGTTTTAGCCTCACCAATTTCCTTTCAATTTTTACAACTCCCGTTTCATATCGGAGACTGATGCAGAGTTGTTAAGATCAGCATTTATAAGGCCAAAGTGACACGAGACCCCATATCTCCTTGGAGATACATGGGCCCTGAGAGCCTGATTTCTGAAACAAAGAGACCTTGCGCTCCTAAATCAGCTGGGCATGGATTGGGAATGCTGCTCCAGGTACGGAAGGTGGCAGGTCCCAATCTCCCAGGCTGCAGCTCTGTCCCTAGGACATCCTGTCTTTGCCACACAGTGATGCCAAGGGGCTGCATCCACCTCACGCTGCCTGGAGAACGAGTTCATCTGTCTGGGGCTGTAGGAATCTGCATTTATGTGTTGTATGCTCTATAAATTCAGTGCCATAATAAAAAGGATCTAAATCTTTACTGAATAATTCATTTTCATGCATAGGGAAGAAATAATGACCTATATTACATTCCATCTATCATTTAGCAGGTTGTGGAGATTGATCGGCCGGTGGGTTTCGAGGTCCCCAGTGAGGAACAGGGCCCTGCCTGCTGCCCAGCTGTATCTTCACCTGACAAACATTATTTAGATAAAATTCCAGGGGGTGATATGCTGGGGAGCCACCAGGAAGTCAAAGATCATTTAAAATGCAGAATATGTCATTGCAAACAATTGGTCTTCTTGGTGCATCTCTGCCTTGGGCGTTACCTCAGTGCCTGCAGCACCCACAGAGCCACACCAGGAGCGGGGTTGTGCCAGCCCTGCCTCAGAGGAGACACAGCACAGGGGATGGAAGAGATGTCTTTGGGGTCTGTGGTGTCAGGGCTGTCTAGGCGCCGTCCACATCTCCAAAAAGCTGGGCAAAGACTTCCTGTGTGTCCCTGGGATTCACAACAGAGGACAGGCTTTTAAGTGCACAGCACTCAGCAGCTTTGGTTGTGATATTTGTAGACAAAATTTCAGCAGAGTGCAGACTTAGTGCATTGGATATTTTTGATTTAATTTTAGGTTGCCCATCCATTAGCGTCACCTGTGTTTCCTCGTGGTGAGCTCTACACCTCCTCCCATGTTGCCAACCCCTCTGTTTCCATCTGCTCCATCACCTGAAAGGAAACCACCAAACCCAACACCCATGAGCGCTGCCCAGCCCTGGGGCTCTCAGCAGCCCAGGGCCAGGCAGGAAAACAAACAAAAACCACTGAGTCTGGCTGCGCAGGAGGGAGTGACTTTAAAACACAGCAGCCAGTCCCTAAACAGGAATAGGCTATCCCAGAACCAGTAATTTTAGGGAAGCAGTACTGGTTCACACCTGGTGCGAATGTGGCTCCATATTTTGGGTAGACTCTGGAGTTTTTCCCTGTCAAGTTCCAGATCTGCATCAAATTATTTCAGCATTTGCTAATGAAGACATTACACTGACCTTATTAAAAACATCATGATTTTCATCTTAACTGAGAAAACAGTGTTTTTTTCCAACTGTTTCAAAAGAAGAATAAAACCCAAATATTATCAGGCCCATCTTTCATATGATAAGGGAGGAGGGGGAAGCTCTGCAAGGAAAGATTTCAAAGCCTGCTTTGTTTTCGTCAGCTTTGAAATCAACAGACAGCCCTGAGAATTTTGTTTTTCAGAACCGCAGTGTTTAATTCTATTTACTACTTCCAGGCAATTCTATATATACACACAGCGAAAAACCCAAGCAGCTCACTTTAAACAAATCCTCCTGCTTTTTTCAGATGTGTCATTCCTCCTGCGGGTAGGATTGCAGGATACAGATCAATTAAATTAAAGCCAAAAACAAAGCAGGGAGGAGAGGAAGGGGGAGAGGAGGGTTTGTGCTGTCCCTGGGCAGCTCTCCCTGCTGGATCTGGCGGGGGTCACTGTCCTGTGGGCACCTTGGCTTCACCTGAACGAGGGGATTTGCCAACGACTTCCCCAGCTCTGTTGTCTGATAGAGCAGCTGGAAATCCAGCCTCTTGCTCCTGTGCTTGGACATATCCAAGCACCCCAAGTTACCCCTTGTGCTGCCTCTCACCCTGGGGTGGACGGAGTTTTGCCAGAAATCCGATTTCC